ACATATTTGCAACAGATTTGTCCAAGTGTGTAGAAACCTTAGACGTGAACGTAAGTAGAGCCGAGATCTTTTGCTGCATATCCAGCTAAAATTGAGGTCAACATTTAGCATGCTTGATATTTGATTTTTTTGTTTACTCGACTTCCTTATTTGTGATTGTAAACTTGTCGAACTTGAAATTTTTCTTGTTGACTCTGTCGATCCCCCTCTTGTATTTTCTGATACACATTATTTTGCCAAGGACTTTGTATCGCTCTTGTGAACTCTTCTTTATCATTTGACACTTGTAGATCTTTAGATTTCCTTGTTACCTTTGATATTCTGGTTCATTGATATGCAATGGCATCTTCTCCTTCAACTTGTCATTAGTTTATATAAAATATTCTAGCTTTATTCTATTCGATGTCAGTCGAAAATATGCTTCTTCAAACATTTCTATTTATTTTAAGTTTGATAGTTCCTCCCTCCATTATTGGTGTACCTAAAATTTTAATATTTTGGTATACCTTGACATCTTTTAGTCCAAACAAAATATAGTTACTTGAGAACGTCGGTTGTGCCACTGATAGGAGATTTTTCTTCATTTCTAGCATGTGATAGAATCTTGTAGCTGCACTTAACTATGACTAAAACGAGGTGTAATAACTACCTTACCAATGTGGGCGACTAGTAATCTTGAGTTTTGACATTATCACCATTCACACTCCATTATACTCTATTGTATTTTTAAGCTTTTCTATATCACATGTCATGCATGGATCATCCAAAGTTTACGATTCAATCCCTTTCATAATGTATTCGTCGAGGGAGCACTATCAGTAGTGTAAATTCTTCCTTAGAGCCTATACTACATTTCTCTTCTTGAGTCAGCTCCATTATTTTGAGCAATGCCATAACATTTCATCTTCTTCACTATTGCATTTTTCTCAATCATTGAAGGTAGCAATATTGCCTTCTATTGACTTTTTCCTAAGTTGACAATCTCTAGAACAATGGCCTTGTTTGTCACATACAAAATAAGATTCATCGATTTGACAATTTCCCTTAAACAGATAGCCTCTCCTCATCACAACTCTATTGGGCTCCCCTTGTTTGAGAACCTTCTTCTCATTTATTTTCTTTCAATTCTTTATTAATTAATTGATGAGATCGGTCTCTTCTTATGTAAGTATATAATGCTTCTTCTTCTTTTTTTTTAGTTAGTCCCATTACATTTGCTTGGTCAATCAACAATTTTTTGAGATTTACTAGTGGCAGTTGCTTTGGCCAACCTTGTATTGTGCCAATAAAACTTCTAAATTCGGGTCTCATACTATATATAATTATTCTCGTCACTAAAGAGTCAAAAATTATACTAGTTAAATCTAATTCAAAGATTTCACTATAAAGAGGCCATACATTGTTAAATTATTGGTTTACTATCACCTCTTGTTGAGTATTAGAGAGTATTTCATTATCTAGTTGCAATTTTAGATCTCTCTTTTTTCTTTTTCAAAAATAGTTCTACGTATGTCTCCCATTCTTCCTTTTGTGTGTTATTGTCCCTTATGTGGTCAAATAATTCTTTCGTAATTATGGTATTTATTGCAAGCATAGTCTTACCTGCTTTAGTTTTTCACTTCTTCAAAGATCAAGCATCCTTTGCCAATGTCACCTCACTACCATCGACCATGTCCCACTTCTCATGTCCTTGGAGATATCTATGCAGGTTTGTGTTGTGGTGTAATTTTAATTATTGAACTTCTTCACTCCACCTACTCCTTGTAAGTTGTCCATTGTGAGTTAAATAGCCCCCCGTTACAGAGCAAGCTTAATAGAAGTTTCACAATCTCACTTTGAGTACAATCTCAAGAAGCTCATAAAATTCATCCCGGACCACCATGCACTGATGCCAAATTGTCAAATTTAAACCACAAAGAAAAAATATTCTATCCGTAAAATTATTTTTTACAAGCGAAGCACACCCCTCTCATAATTTTTTTATTTATCAAGGAAAGCACTTAATCACAACTTTTGCTCCACTCTCTCGCACCTCTAATTCTATAAATCACTCACTTCACCATTCCGTCACTCTTTTTCTTACCGTTCATACATTTGAATCCACATAAGATATATATACATTGCAAAGTCGGTAAATTCTAGATATATCCTACAACGGCGGTTGTCTCAAATGCATAGAATTCTACAGATTCTTCTTGTATGGTGGTGGGTATATGAGTATTCATGGAGTCGCCAGAAAATTTTCCAGCCACTAATGCATGGAAGAAGACCCAGCAGATTCTAGAACACGTCAGTGCTGCAACTTAACTGTCATGAGATACCTTCATCTGCCATATTGCACGCAATCGTTCCTATAACGTGGAAGAGCTCTCCAAATTGTGCATTGCAAGACCGCATATGTTAATCACCTCATCTAAAAATCGAAAATATTTGGCACCACATATTTTCATTTAAATCTCCAGTATCACTTATATTTTGATCAAAGTATTACGGGTGCACAAATTTCATAAATGGACAATGACAAGACTCGAATTTAATCTTTTGTCTCTCTCTTCCCTTTTCCAGCTCAAGCTATTAGGGATGTTAAGTTTCCTATGGAATGAAGTAATTCTTATTAATTCAATACGCAATACAATGGTGTATATATTACATCCATATCTTGCTATGCATGGAAATAAATTAATCTAGGGTAAAAATAATTGATAAAGGGAATAATTTCACAATTATAGCTAAATCCCTAAATAATCTTCTCAATCCCTATAATCACGCTCAATACTCCCCCTCAAGTTGGAGCATGAAGATCCGTAATGCCCAACTTGCAGCAAAATGACGAAAATAATCCTTGCCGAGATCTTGGGAAAATATCCTCCAAATTGATGTAGAATGCCCAACTTTCAATTTTTATTTATTTTTTATTTTTTTTTTGTTTGTTTAAACATAAGAAAACCCTTAGATTGTTTAAGGGGAACGGGAGAGTAGATAAAAATCAAGATACCAACCGTCCAAGAATTTTGTTTTTAAAAACCTCTAGTTTATTTAAGAGGCAGAAAACCCCTAATTTGTTTAAGGGGCACGGGAGAACCGGTAAAATTCAAGGTACCGATCCTCCAAAATTTTTTTTTTTTTTTTTGTTTTTGAAAACCCCTAGTTTGTTTAAGGGGCATAGGTAAGGAAATCCCTAGTTTGTTTAAGGGACACGGGAGAGCCGGGAAAATTCATAATACCGACCCTCCAAATTTTTGTTTTAAAGAAAACCCCGAATGTTTGAAAAGGGGCAAGGGGAGAGCCGGTAAAAATCAATGACCGACTCTCCAATTTTGTTCCCTTTTTTTTTTTTTTTTGAAAAACAATTATAAAAAATAAAAATTGGAACGAACCCATTCGACATGGGCTAAAAATTTCAATAGCTCAAGAGGATGTAACAAATGGAAAGCCCAAAAATATCATTGCACCGGCCCAACAATATGCAACAGTGACAAAATTACCCAAACTTCAGCCCACTATCACAATCTTCAGCCCAAGAGCTCACATAACACAGCCCAATTAAATACCCATCGAGCTCCAAACATACAAGCCCCAAATTGGACCGCGATGAAAAGAACACCACAGGCTTTTGGTCCATCGCACTAGCCTTTTTTTTTTTTCGGGAGATCCAGTACATCGTTGTAAAATTTTGGTTGTAAAAAATTTGGCTGAATCTTATACTGCTGTAGTTGATAGGTAGTTAGAGAAGAAAAGTTTGGTTAAAATGAAAAAGAAAGAAAATGGTTTGGCCCAGCGACAGCCCAAGGCTGCTGTCGAAAACGGAATTCAATGATCGATTTCTTCAAGATTGAACCCGCTCTGATACCATGTTAAGTTTCCTATGGAATGAAGTAATTCTTATTAATTCAATACGCAATACAATGGTGTATATATTACATCCATATCTTGCTATGCATGGAAATAAATTAATCTAGGGTAAAAATAATTGATAAAGGGAATAATTTCACAATTATAGCTAAATCCCTAAATAATCTTCTCAATCCCTATAATCACGCTCAATAAGGGAGTTATTAGAGGGCCTAAATGGGTTCTTTCTTTGCTTTACAAATCAGTCCAACAACAATGGTGCTAGGGGTCGGCATTATTTACCCTCGTACACGCAAGCTACAAGCATTAACAACGGTTTCGTTACGAGCGAATCACTTGGCAGGAGTAACATGAAGCTCAGAATTAGGGGTGTAGTCAAGGAGATAACTCCCGAGGAGCGTGATTTGGCCCATAGAAGCGAGGATTTGGCAGAAAGGGTTGATACAAGATGGCTATGGTTGCTCTAGGTAGGGCCTAAGAAGTAAACCTACAAGCGGGAAGAAGGAAGTGGTGAACCCAAATCAAAGAATTAGTGTACCAATTATGTCTATCCGAGAGGGGCAACAAGGGTTCGATGAGAAAGAGTACATCACCATGTATCTAAGGGTGCCCATTGTTTGCAGGTTAGTCCCAAAATGACAAGTCTAAGGGTGAATAGATTAACCACCTTGTAATGAATAAAGCGACAAGATAAATAAAGGTAACCCTCTCTAGAGTTCTTGACTATTTGCAATAATAATTTCCATTTTCATTTCTTGTAGGTCGATATATCAAGTCATAGAAGCACTAAAAATTCAGCAGTAGAAACAGCTCTAGTGAAGAACAGGCTTTTTACTGTAGGAGTAAAATGGGTAAAAACGCTCCATTTCAATGCTTTGGAGCCCTATAATCACGCTATCAACAATCTCAGGACCACAATATTATCAGAATCAAAATCTCTGGAGTTACAACCCCTCTGTGAAAGCTAAGAAGTAAAAGTCCTCATCACTAGCAGCTAAATATGTCCGCTCCTAGAGATTTCAGACAAAGATGGTCCATCTTCAAAATCCAAAATACAAAAACCATTTCTCTAAAACCACAGAGAAATCATTCTGAGAGGTAAATGTAGCTTTTGAATTGTGAAAAACGCATGCAAACTTAAAGCATTCTGCAACTAATGAACCGTTCTATAAATGCATTATTTCTAGCTAGAAATAGATAAGTAAATAATACAGGCAAAACAGAGATTATCATCCAATCCATTAGTCAACCAAACGATAGCACAGAAAGCATTAAAACTCGAACTGATGTTCTGAAAACAGGGAAACTACTGCTCGAGGGAAAAAAAAAAGAAAAAAGAAACATAAAATATGAAAATTCAATCTATCCTGTCCCAGGTTGAGATGCAACAAAACGATATTTCAAGCAGTTGTAGCCGATTGGGCAGCAAGCCTCTTCCGTGCCTCTTCAATGATGGACAATTTGATACCTTTTCCCTTTGGGAGGGATACCCATGGTTTAGTACCTTTACCAATGGTGAAAACATTTCCTAGACGAGTAGCAAACTCATGCCCAATTGCATCCTGAACGTGAATGGTCTCAAAGCTACCCTTGTGCTTTTCCCTGTTCTTAATGACTCCAACACGCCCCCTGTTTCTTCCACCAGTGACCATGATCACATTTCCAACATCAAATTTGATAAAATCAACAATCTTGTTGGACTCCAAATCCAACTTGATGGTATCATTGGCCTTTATGAGAGGATCTGGATAACGGATGGTTCTGCCATCGTAAGTGTTGAGGTATGGGATTCCCTTCTTCCCAAACTGGACAGATCGAACCTTGCAAAGCTTAAACTGGACAGATGTAGAAAACATTGCATCAGACCCAGCAAATATTACCATCAATAAGAAGAGATTATTATAACGATAACCCCAACATGGAATAATCGATTTCATAGTTATACGGAAAAAATTAGTCATCCATGAAGAAATTATTCAATCACAAATTATGGTGAGAACATCTGAATCTCTAATAGCAGTGAGGAAGGAAAGCTCAGAATTCTAAAATAAACATCTGGGAAATAACAATATTTCTCAAGCGAACCTAAAAGTAAAATAAAGACACAGAAACAAACCTTTGCCTCCTCATCCCTGACTGAATGGAGCCGAAATCTTCCCTTAGTGTCATAGAGGAGACGGAAGTTCTCATTTGTCTTTGGAATTGAGACAACATCTGGACATGAAAGGCATCAATTACCACAACAGGGATCATAAGTTTCTACTTAACAATATTATTATGACAAGAAACTCACTCTTGCACAATTTTACAGCCATTATGTAACCAGTATTAAAATAGAGGTTAAGGAAAGGAAGACAGAAATGACACATACCCATGAAGCCAGCAGGATAAGTCTTATCTGTTCGAACCTTTCCATCGACCAAAACATGTCGTTGCATTAAAATGGCAATGACTTCACGGTATGTCAGAGCATACTTCAACCTGTTTCGCATAATGAGGATCAACGGCAAGCACTCCCTTGATTTATGTGGCCCAGATGATGGCTTGGGAGCCTACATCAGATAATAGATAAGGAAACTATACCAGAACAAGAAATAACACATGGCTACACAATTATTCACTTACAAATGCTCCACCAAGCTTGTCAAGCATCCAATGCTTTGGGGCATTGAGTCTCTTCAAATGTTTCTTCAATCCTCTTGCCTGTACAGATAAAAATAAAAACTCAGCAATCAAAGGTCTGAATTCCAAGTCAACTTTCCAGTACCATGACCACTGAACAAGTTGGACACAAAATATCAACCGCCTTACAATCAGCTCTTTGCATCTCCAAAACATATGTACGAAAATGAAACTTGTTCATGTATGATTTCAAAGTTTTCACCCAAGAAGATATAATATATTAAGCCCCGTGACTCAGTTCATCTTCCAAGATTCATTTTACACCAAAATTCTAATCTAAATAGCAACACACAGATATAACGCCTCACCATATTTGACAAACCATGTAAAGCACCCAACGAATACGATAATGGACATTGCTGCAGTGCATATTTCAAAAAAAAAAGGAAAAAAAATCCTAACCAGAAATTTTTTAAATATCAGATTCCTCTCTTAACGGATTTCCATATTACCTCTACTCTTTCATAGTTTCTAAAAAACAACTGTTCTAATCTTCAAAGGCCTTAATTAACACAAAATGAAAAAGAGGTGCATCAAAATGTAGCTTTCCATAAAGATAAATATATTTTTCTAACATTAATAGAGGATAAAAACATCAACTCTGAAAAATTACACAACTTGCATGCACCAGTTCATTCTCAAAAGTTAACGCGTTCCACTATTAAACAACAAAAATTGTATTCAAATGATCGACATGGAAATCGTAGAGGTTAAAAAGAAGAGCAAAAACAAACCATTTTGTTACTTCTGTGTAGTTAAGTCGCCCCCGCTGTCGACGGTGGTGCTGCCTCCCCGCTGCTTAGTGCTAAGGAAATTCCAATAAGGCGAACGAATGACGGATCAAGTTGAAACCCTAAGAAATGCTCTGGGTTTTAAATACTTCTGTTTCGGTGAAGACTGAGCCCAATAACGAAATCGAAATTGAATCTGGAGATTGGGCCGGAAACACATAGACCCACTATTATAAGGGAAGAATTCACAAACCATTTTGGGCAACTTACAAAAATACCCTCAAAATTAGGGGTCTTTTGAAAAATCATATGAAAAATTTTTTGAAAGTAAAAAATATTTTGTAATATTAAAAAGTGACATAACGTCACTTTTTTTTATTATTATAAAAATTGCCACTTTTTTTTTAAAGGTGATATTGTGTAACTTTTTTTTATTAAAAAATGACATACAATGTCACTTTTATTAAAAAAATGATGTTTGTCACTAAAAACAATAATAGAAATCAAGAAGTTGATTGAAAAAGGTGACAAACACTAAAAAAAGTGACAAAAATTAAAAAAAAAGTGACAATTACTAAAAAAAAATTACAAAAATTCAAAAAAGTGACATTAAAAAAAGTGACAAACGCTCAAAACGTAACAAAATTCAAATTAAGTGACTAAAAAATGTAACAAAAAAGGTGACACAAATTTAAAAAAAGTGACAGAGTTTTTTGCATTTGTGCTTTGATACCATTGAAACATTGTGCCATTGCCACCATAGGAACTCCCAAACTCAATGGTAGCAATTTATATTTCCCACAAGTAAAATTCACTTATTTTACTCTTGTTAAAAATGAATTCTTTAATTCAGTAACTTCATCATTATTTCTCAAATTTACCTATCCATGCCTTATGAGTAAAGTGAAAAAATGGGTCCTAAACTTCAAAGTTCAATATGTAAATTGAACTCACAACATAGCATACAGTATTAAAATTGAAACTTCAAAATCAACTCCAACTTCACCAACTCAAAATTGCTGCACTCCCATTGTCTTCCCCAAGGCAAAGCAAATTTGTTGGGTACCCCAATTAATCACCCAACCGACTAAAACCCAATTTACCGTCGGTGACTCCAATTAATCACCGCACCGAGGCAACTTGAGCAAAGTAATCTCTATTTTTCTGAATAAATTTAATAATCTTCTCCTTTGTTCGCTTCCCTTCATACTGCTTCAAGTCACCATTGCAGATCTGAAGCGAAGGGGTATTGGAATTCCAACCACTCAATTAAACATCTATTCCATTCATCGAAATGCTCCACATCTTCGATTAATCATGGCAGGAGATATTCATTTTTTATTCTTTGCAGCCATTTTCTCCTCCCTTTGCTCTGTGCAATGGGCCGCCCCTTTATTTGCTATTTGGAAATATGTTTTCGCATATGCCACCTCTAACGTTGACGACGGCTACGGAAGAAGGAGGAATTTTGCCGTGGAGATGCAGGAACTAAGGTGGGATTATTGCATAGGTATTTGGAAGATTAGCTATTACTTGTGGTTGGATCTATATGTAACTGTGGAGACGAAGGTGAAAATGAAAATGAAGGAGAGGTGGCTATAGATCTAGGACGTATTAATTACGGTTGAATGGTTTAATTAGTTTTAAGCAGGTATTATTCAATTTAGTTAGTTTAGGAGGATATTGGGCCTAATTTTCCCAACCATTTTTAAGTATGCACACTTCGAAATTAAAGTGGTTAAATTTAATTATGTAAAAATCAGTTTTTTATGTAATTAATTAAAAATATTTAATATTTAAATATAATAAAAGTCACAGTTATACAATTATGGTCACAAATCTCCAATTATAGGTCACGGATTTTTTCGTGGTCGCAAATCAAAAATTTTTTTGGTTACAGATTATTTCGAGATTGCAAATCAAAAAATTTATAAGTCACGGTTTTCATCATTGGTCGCAGATTAAAAAATTATAAGTCACAGATTATCTATTAGTCACATATTTTCGAATTTGTTGGTCACATTTATCAAATTTTAAGGTCACATTGGTCACGGGTCAAACAGTGGGTCACATACCACTACCACCTCTACTGTCACCACCACCATGACTCCATCACTATCATTGCTACTGCTAAAATTTTTACCACCAGATCCAATCAATTGCTAACAAAAATCTGGGCAATCAACTCTACCAACTCTCCAACTACCAACCACCACCTCCACCGCCGTCAAAAACCACAACAATCGCCACCACCAAATACGATAACAATACCTATGCACAATCTCACCACCGTTTCCACCCCAAAATCACCACTGCCAACAACCACCGCCAACAACACTACCATCGTATACAACCATTGTCAGGGGCACCACCACCACCAGAGCTACTGCACACGAACTGGCAGAACACAAATCAAAAAAAATTCAACCACTCACTACCTAACCATACCATCAACAACACCATCGCATAGGCGCACACATCACCACCCGTCAAATCTACCAACGATCAAAACCATGCAAAAAATCAAGCAAAGCTGCGAGCAGCAACGTTCACAGCAAATCGTCGGAGAGTTGTTCATGGCACATCTACCTCGTAAATCATCGGCCATAGCAAATCGTCGGAGAAACACCGCTAATCAGAGGAATTTCAGACCAAAGCCTTCGTCGCAGGCTCCGATCTCTTCACTCCAGTAGCAACGTGCTAGCGACGACGAAGTGAATGAGGTTGATCTCTGGCGATGGATGCTCCAACTGCGACGACGACATCATCTGACAGAGGACGAAGATGGAAAGGAAGAGTGAGAGTGAGAGTGTGAGTGTGAGAATGAAATAAAAGTGGGTCGAAATAAAATTAGGGTTCATATTATATGTCAAAACCTGATTTGTGCACAATGAAACTTGGTCCTTGACTTTTGAATTATGGTCTTTAAGTACCTGGTACCATGTAATTTTTCCCAATTATAAACTATTTCAGCTCATAAAAATATAATTACATTAATATATGAGATAAAATATTGATTTATAATTAATGTTAAATATAAAATTACGTAGAGAGCTTAAAAGTAGGAACTAGTTGAAAATTTCAAAATGTCTAGTTTTTTAAATTTTGAAAATTATCTAGAAATTATTAATTAATTAGAGTATTTATAATTTTTAACTATTTATTATGTATTATTTTATTTATTTAATTATCTTAAAATAATTTGAATAATATTAAAACATTAAAAATAAAATTTTTAGAACCTTGAAATTAAAATTCAACGACATGAATCTACTTCAAATTTAAACCTCAATGACCTGATTGCAAGTAAGTTAAAGGTTCAATGATCACATGTGAAATATATTTTACCGACTTGGCAGAACACGTGGAGATTTTTCCTATTTTTAAATTCACACCACTCGTTCTACTAAGTGGTTAAACAAAAGGGTAATGAAATTATGTAGTTACTTGAAATTAAAATCAACCCTACTTCTTGTCCAAGGTTGGGGACAGTGGGGAAAACAGGAGCGCCACTTCAAATTAAAATCAACGTTGCTTCTTGTCCGGGTTGGGGACATGGGGGAAAACAGGGGAGTTTGTCCCTAACCCTGGCCATATGGCTTTATTCAATTAATATATAGTAGTATGATTGTTTCAAATTAATGTTCAATAATTTAATTATAAATAAAAGTAAAGTTCAGGGACTAGAGATTTAAATTCACCCATTTCCATAAGTGGTTTAATTTTTTGCAAAATTTTGAACATGTTCTTGATAGATTTGGAAGAAATGAAAGAAAGAAAATAAAGAAAAACGTTGGCAAATTATCCCAAATCACCTTATCATTATATAATTGGACACCTTTATCGAGGTGTTGGCAAGTTTGACACGTCTATTCAGTAAAATTATGAAAACAAAAAATGACGTAATTTTGAAAATCGTTATTATTATTGTATTATTCTAACACTTTCAATCCATTGAATCAAAACTAGATTTTACATAATTAACACAATAAGACCTTGTCAAATATTAGGCTAAGAAAAATGTGTGTTGGACTCAACGAAATTCACATTAATCTGGAGACATAAATTGAACCAAATCTAGCACAAGTGACTCTTTTTTTTTTTTTTTTAATGACCGAGAGTGTACGAGTCAGCTTACGCACACCTAGATTAATCCCACGGGGCCCTGAAATTTACAGTAGATTATCACTTCGATGGCTCTGAGGGGACTCAAACTGGTGATCATTAGAAGCAAATCCAAGGTTCGACCGTCGACAAGTGACCTTTTTATGGTGGTTTATTCAGTTATGGATTGATAAAAATTAATAAATCCCAATTCTGGAAAAGGTGCGAGTCACATTTTCTATATGTCATAATCAAGAAAAAACTTTAGATTTATACTAGGTGTACAGAGGATTAAGTATACAGAATGTGTATAGACTCTCACAAGTGAATGGACTCCACATGAATATTTTATTGCCAAAAAATCTTGATGTGTGTATTCTGTACACTTAATCTTCTGTATATGTAGAATAACTCAAAACTTCTACATGCATTTGGTAAGATCCAATCATCTATTCAATTAATACATCTCAAATTTCGAATCATACAAATCATAATATTTTGGACATCGAATAGGTTCGACCATATACTGCGTTTCTCTCTTATCCAATCGAGAGTTAAAATGTCGTGACTTGAGTAAATGATCAACAAAACCTCTAAATTCATGGTAAAACAAGACGTGAATTCTCGACTCTGACATATTTTGACATTTTAACGAGTACTACAAAAAATCCAACATGTAATTTGACATTGTACGAAATTTAAATTATTTCCCAGCATGATTATGCATCGTGGTTTTCGCCACTCTTTATTCCCACCCCACACTATTTATCATTCGTTACGCGCACACTCCATGTTCCTTTTTAGAGTACAGTATACTGACTCATTTACTCGCCCTCGAATCGGTGTTAATTCGGCCGTATTTTGAGCCGAGTCCACATTTTACTCCCTCCAGACTCGTTCTCTTCTAGCCATGGCAGCGGCTTTGGAATGCTGGTCAAGTCGAACTAGCACTGACGAGGATATGGTGGAGCAAGTTTTAATGCGAACCCAAGACAGATCCGAATGTCCACCGGAAAGCAACCTTTCATCCTCCTCCACCACCTCCTC